AACCATGCAAATCAGGAAAATAATTGTTATTTTAAAAGGGAATATAGTTTCTCAAAATCATAAATTCACCTCTTTAAACTAGAAGACAGAATATTCATGGACAACTTACACAGAACTATACACTGCAGCAGAGAGGAAAGAGAAGGGAAATAAACATTTCACATAAAGAAAGCTAAGGGGAAGGGGCGCCTGGGTGGCGCAGTCGGTTAAGCGTCCGACTTCAACCAGGTCACGATCTCACGGTCCGTGAGTTCGAGCCCCGCGTCGGGCTCTGGGCTGATGGCTCAGAGCCTGGAGCCTGTTTCTGATTCTGTGTCTCCCTCTCTCTCTGCCCCTCGCCCGTTCATGCTCTGTCTCTCTCTGTCCCAAAAATAAATAAACGTTGAAAAAAAAAAAAATTTAAAAAAAAAAAAAAAGAAAGCTAAGGGGAAAACCAACCTGAGATTTTAGCCATCAGCCCTCTTTTCTCATATGCCATTGAAAAGTCTCAGAAATTCTAACATGTAAATTCTAAGGCAAACTTACCAATGTGTCTCTTGTACTTAAAGAGTCTGACCGTTAATTTCTCTCAGTCCAAAGAAATAAAAACAAGTGAATTGAAAATAGACACATCTCACATACAGAATGACTCAAAATAATGTTTGTAGATACTCTGCCCTCAAGGAGGTGAAGCATAACTCCCTACTCCTTAAATGTGGGCTGTGCACGGTGACTTCTTTAAAGTTTATTTATTTTTGACAGAGAGAGAGAAAGAGTATGAGTCGGGAAGGGGGAGAGAGAGAGGGAGAGAGAGAATCCCAAGCTCCAACTCACGAGTGAGATCATGGCCTGAGCTGAAATCAAGAGTCAGATGATTAACCAACTGAGCCACCCAGGTGGCTCAAATCTCTTTAGAGGGAAGATTTATATATGTGAACATGTTTTTGTCCGATTATAAAAAATTACATTGTTCAAATTTCTGACTTCCCATTTCTCATATCACCAAAATTCTGGATAGTTACCCACTCATGGGTTAGAATGGGGCAAATTGCTAAAGCATCTGGCTTCAGTTCTTCAACTGCAAAATGGTGCGAACACCATCTGCTTTAACTAAGGGTCGTGAGGACTAATGGGGTTCACATTTGTTAATATGCCTAGCACAGACAGAAAGAAGGCACCTGAAAATGATAATGATAGTATTATTAATACTAACAAAAACAGCTATCAGTATTTGCATTCATATGATGGAGCTGAGTTACAAATTAATCCCAAGCCAGGTGATGATTTTCTCAGTGACCCAGATAAACAAGAGTCGCTACCACATTTAGGGGGATGAGAACAATAACTAAAGGCGGGAGGGCAGAAAGGAGAGGACAAAATCTGATAGGGGAAGAGGAGGAGGAGGGGGAGGACTTCTTACACAGCATCACTGCCAAAAACAAGTCTGAAAGCTTTAAGACAAGGTGAAACCTGATCACTTTTTAGCCTTGACTCCACTAGAATAATAAAAAGAAAGAAAGAAAAAAAAATACCCTCTGGTCTTTCTGGCACTCATTTCCCCAAAGTCTCCCAGAACAATCACATTAAGAGCCAAATAAACACCAAATCTGAACCTCTCCTTGGCCCAGAGGATGCCAAGTTCATGTTTCACTCCCCAAAGTTTTTTAGCATTGGCACATTCAAACCCAGACCTTCATCTTCCTTATTCAAGAAGAGGGGACAGAGGATGGGGATTTTTCCATTAAAAGAACCATGCAGTGTTGAAATACTGTGTACCACACATGTTGTCCACAGTACCTCTAACTCCCCCAATAATCCTAAGACGACACATCCGGATGAGGACCGGAGGCTCAGTGGGGGGAACAATTCACTCCATGTTCTTGCAGACAGTACACAGTGGAGACACTGAACCCAGGTCAGCCTGACTACAAGGATTTCCCTCTTTCCACTATGCCAGACACTTAATGCAAAGACTTCCTGCCAAAATCGATAGAGAAAGGGAACTAAATAAAATAGCTAATTCCTTCAAAACATTTCTCAGCACTGCACTGGAAGTTCTTCTGTGACCTTAGTCAGCCCAAACAATAATCCCACAGACTGTTGTCACTGTCCCAATTCTACAATCGAGAGACCTCAGAGGGCTTACTTGATTCATCCTAATAGTGCACAGGCGGAAACAGAGAAGGGAGGAGGAGCTGAAAGACTGAGGAATGAACATGAGAGACAGGTATAAGAAACAGGGGTTCCAGGGGGAGGGCAACCACCTCACAAGAGAAACTCAATCCCTGGTGCCCAAGGTCCACAGGCCCTGCTCTAGGAGAGGGAAACTGGACAGATCTCTGAAGGTACTCATAAGTACGGGGCAAGGGTGGGGGGAGGAAGCGAGAATTGCAAATTTGTAGTAATTAAAAGAGAATGACTCATGGGTGTCACAGTCAATTTTTAAAAAATGGCAGGGATAACTGGACAGCCAATAAATCATTTCTGAGCATTAACCTTTCTGCTTCCTGAGGGTTTCAGACTGTTGTGGGTGGGGACAGAAGCCCCCGAGAACATTCTGATGGGCCAAGAAGTTCTCCATTTGAAATTTACCAAGTCCTTTAACTGTTTTTAATACTTTCATTCCCTCACAGGTGTGAAGCACCTTAGTGTCATCTATCACTTTCATGTATATTCTGTTAAGCATTGTTGTCCAAAATTACCTAATCATATATAACCACCTGGGGCACTTGTTTAACATATAAATTCCCAGACATCCCAGGTGAGATATGCTTAAAACTGGAAGCCCTGGGGCACTGTGCTTTGGAAAAATGATTCAGCTGATTCCTATACTCAGGCTAGTTCGGAAAGACTGCTTTAACAGGATCCTCTCAACAAGTTTTCAAGATAGGTATCCTGATCCCCATGTTAAACATAAGGAGAGTACGGTTCAAAGAAGGAAAGGACACGCCCAAGGTCACACAACTCCTGTCTGGCAGAATGTAGAACCACAAATCACACTGTGACTCCACAGTGGGTATGCATGTCATCTAAATCTGAGCCGGAGTCAGCTTCAAGAAGTCCTCTCCTTGGGGTCTTAACTATGGCATCAGAGACCAGGAAATGGGAGTGTAGACTATCCAGCACCATCAGAAAGAACCAGGGAAGAAGTCGATGCCCTGGGTTGAATAACACTCAAGGAAAAAGAGGACAGCAAGGTTCTCCTCTATGTGTAGTTCTATTTTTGAGTCCCCAAATTTTGCAGGCCAATGGGGTATTTCCAACACCCCCACTATTAGCACTCTTTTAACTAATAGGTCCATTTGGCTAAAATGATGGAAATACTTCTTTCACTACTGCACAAAGGTAGGAAAAAAGCCTGGAGAAAGGTCCTTCCAGAAATAACTTCTGACAATTAATGTCACACCAAAAGAGGAATGCCCCAGATGAGATCTTAAAATCCACACACTGACATCCTCGCTGGTGACTGCAGTGTAACAGTGACTCAATTGTGCCTTCTGGGGGTAAAGTTCACACCAATCCCCAAGAGGCTGCTCCTCCAGACAGGGTTAAGTACCTGAGGTGTGCAAAGGATGAAGAATGATGTGCCTGCGAAACATGTCCTCTACTATCTCCTTTCTGGAAGCCCCTAATGCTGAACTCTTATCAACTCTCTATAAGAAAAGTTCTAAATCATACAAAGTGAGCTGGGCAGGAAGAGCACAAGAAAATGGCACTCATAGTCCCAGCTTCTCTTGACTTTGAATAAAAAAGAAAATGGGGACGACTAGCCTTCCCTGAAGGAGCTGACTTTAAGATTCAACACCTGCCTCTCCCTAAATATATAGATATAGATATAGATATAGTTTATCTATAGTTATATAGTATATATATATATGTATCTATATATATTTAGTATATATATATAGTATATATATATTTATCTATATATATTCAGTACATATTTACCTATATATATTTAGTATATATAGATTTATCTATATATATTTAGTATATATTTATCTATATATATATAGCTTATATAGTATATATATAATATAAATATAATATATACACTATATTATATAGTATATATAATATATATAGTGTATATATTATATGTATATGTATATATAATATATATATACATATATATACACACACACACACAATATATATATACATAGTTTATCTGTCCTCGGGGAATGATCCCCTTCCTCACAGATTTGTTGAACATAAATTATCTAAATTATTTTCAAGGTAAGAAAACCCATCTCCCACCCTGCCCTACTGCCCCTCCGTATGTATCTCCTGAAATCTGAGGCCAGGATGACAATAGACTTGCATACTTTGTGATTTCATGTCCAACCTGTCTCTGTTAAATACACACACACACACACACACACACACACACACACACACACACTGTTAATTACAGCAGGCTGCTACTTTACACTATTTTTTAAATTGTCTCTGCCATGTAGCACATACTTATTTATAATATTCATAATTTACGGAAAAATATTGTGACTTCAACATACAGACCTCTACATTCTGCAGTGATTCAGGTATATTACTATAAAAAACAACACACCCATCTAGTTAAAATCAACTTCCTTGAAAAACATATCTTTTGCCTCAATTTTAGGGCCTATCCAGTTAAAATCAACTTCCTTGAAAAACAGATCGCTTGCCTTCATTTTAGGAGCCAAAAAAAATATTTTTCTTTTATTCACCATGTAAAAGGCACCTTTAGAAAAACAGTCACATTTCATGACGAACTGTTCATGTCTCCTTCAAATGTGTCCAATTTTAATGAATGGTCTTCACCTTGGATACCAACATTCCAGGCTGCATGGGAACAATGGTGTTTGGGCATGTGCAGTGGACGTGGAAGATGGATTCAAGATGTTTCAAGTATGTAAAATCACATGCAGATGTACAAATAGTACGTCCAGTCAAAGCGAGTTAAGAAAGCAATATATATACAGACACCCGAGAATGGATGAGCGCAAATAAAATCCAACTTGTAATTAACATACCGTGCTGTGACACCTGTTGCCTTCCACGATAAGAAGTCTGGGAGATCAAAGAAATGTCCCGCCTTATCCCAGCAAGTCTCTCTTAAGTTCTGCCAAATTAAATACATATTAGAATCAATTATGGGCTTTTTTTCTACCCCTCCCTTCTTTCAATAATGTTTCAAATTTTTCAAAACAAAAGCATAGCCAACAATGTCCAAGAAAACATCTGTTCAGGGGCTGGGGGCCAGGGGGCAGGGATGGTAGAAAAGTAGTACCTATAGAGGAAAGAAAAATTGGCAATTATTGATCCTTCCCCAAATGGCCATCATCTCCCTTTTATCCCCTTGGCCAACCCAGAGGGAGAAGATGCACACTCTGTGGGGGAATGCAATCTATCTTCCTCGTGAAGGGCCACAGGATACACTTCAAGGCATCCAGTAAGATTTCAAAGCTGAACAGTTTTAAGTTGGGAAGAAAACCACCCTAAGAAACTACCCCATGGAAGAGAATGTGTCCTGCCATGTAAAATTCTCCCCACACCAACAGGTTCCAAAGGCAATAAGAAAGTTGGTCCCTGCCTTCAAAGAACTTCCAGTCTAAGCCAATGAGAATGGCACAGGACCAAGGTATTCTTACAAGATACCTAAACATTTGTTTCTTCCAGTCTCTTCCGCAGTGCCAATGTGGTCAGAATTTTTCTTGCCACTGGGCTTTTTCTTTCCTCTGCCACCTCCGTCTGGAATTCCTCAACTACCCCCCTGTGGCTTCCCAGGACCCAAGTCGCCTGCCCTTTGGTTAACCCTATCCACCCTTCCTCGGAGAAGCCTTCCAGGATCTCCTACTCAGGGTGGGTCTGACTCTCCTACAACCCATACCATCCCACAATTATTTGCGTGCTATCTTTCTTTCCCACCAGATTATAAGCTCTACAATGTCAAAGAGCCTAGTCCCTTTCATGCACTATGATATATCCCACAACCTTCTCCTCTCCTCCCCCTACCTAGGACTGGACAGTTAGCTGTGAGGTAGAAACCACCTGCTTCCAATCTGCTTATTACACACTTAACTGGACCAGGGATGGACATGTGACCTAATCAGATTCCTTCTGACATGTAAGCCACAGACATGTGAGCCAATCAGATTCCTTCTCCCATGAATTTAGACTAAGGATCCAAATGGAGTCATTTCACTTCTGCCTATGAATAGAACTGAAGGGGAGATAAACTTGGAAACTTGAAGTGGCCCTTTTCTGCCAAGTACCTAGAGAAGCAGAACTTCACAAAGAGAAGAGTAAAGCAGACAGAAGCGGTAGCAAGAAAGGTTTCCTACCATCTAGGCAACTCTCCAAGTCCTGGTTTCAATTATTTCCTTCCCAAGTGGCTACAACTAAAAGGAATGTATCATAAGTATACAGGGCTCTTGGGGGAACCAGGGGGCCATGATGAAGAAGTTCCCAAAGAGACGTATTCCACTGTCCGCTAGAGGGTGACACACAGTGGACGCTCAATAAATATTTGTTGAACAACTAGACAAACTGCTCATTTTTACCTTCCAATCTCTCTCATGTGAGTAATGCTTCAGAGTTTAGAAGTGGATTCCGCGTGCGTTATCTCCTTAGAATGAGGGAAAGTTCTGAGTATTATTACGACTACTTTACAGACATATTACTGGCCTTTATCTACCTTTGCCCTCAAATTCTGAGTTCCTACTTCCTCCTTCCCTATCACTACTATATGGACTATCTGTGCACAACAGAGAAACTGAGTATAATCCCAGGTACAGGGTCCCATTAAAATGACAGTAACATCAAAAGGGTTCAGATGTAAATGGCAGCATGAAGCCAATTTCCTATGACTGTTGTTGTTTATTTGTTTTAAATTCCAAAGCACTGGGGTGAAAGCTTACATTTAGGAAGGGCTAAGCTCTTTGAACGCCCATACACGTTAACGGTAAACAAAGTGAAACTTAAAGCTGACCGAATGTGCCTAACACTGCTGTGCCTTAGTAGTATCTTCATAACCTGATAGGTCACAGTCAGAAAATGGTAGTCTGAAACTGTGTGAGTCAAACGACTCGGATGCCTTCGGGGCAGTCCCCAAAATCTCTTTCCATGTGCTTTGTGGTTTCAGTGATCAGTTTCTAGGGAGAAAGAGAAAACGCAGCCTCCTTCTATGGGCTCCAGAAATCCAAGGCCAGTCACCAGAAATGAACCACTAAACCACGGCAGCAACACCCAGTGCTTCAAGCCAAAGCCGAACAATGTTCCTAAACTCCAAAAACAACTGCTTCTGTTAGATCTCGTATACAGTCATTAAAGACTCTGCATAATGAGAGCTTTCAGCCTGGAGCCACAGGGACATCCACTGTGGACAATGGGACCCAAGCAAATGTCTCCAAGAGAACTTGAAGCTTCTTGCCAAAAAAAGAGACACGCTGCAGGCAGGAGGCATGAGGCAGCCAGGGAACATCATTTCTTCTTGAAACCATATCAGCTTCATCTACCAAAGCCACATACCCCAGTCCAACCTCTCTCTATAGGATGAGAAGCCAGAAGCATCTAATTAGAGGTATGAGGTATCCTTAAGAATAGGCATGGTCTTGGAGGAACAGAGACCAGCAGTCCCCACTTCCTCTACAAAAGCAGTCTGGAGATTAGCCAGAAAACAGAAGGCAAGGGCACCTGGGTGGCTCAGTGGGTTAAGGGTCCAACTCTTGATTTCGGTTCAGGGCACCATCTCACAGTTGGTGAGATGGAGCCCAGCGTTGGGCTCTGTGCTGACAGGGCGGAGCCTGCTTGAGATTCTCTGCCTCACTCTCTCTCTCTCTCTCTAAATAAATAAATTTAAACATCAACAACAACAACAACAACAACAACAACCACAAAGAGAAGAGGGCAGAGTTTGCCAGGATGAGAGGGAATGTCGCCTAAAGCCTGATCTCTTACTTTGAGATGCTGGCAGACTATCTGTGACGATCTCATGCTGTTTTTATGTTGAGCTACATGATTCACAAGTGCTTTGTCATCAAATGCCAGATGGGCCAAGAGCATGTAGCCCCATGGATGGATTTTTAATCCAGTTCTGTGGGAAAATCTCTCTTTCCATCCCACTCTCCAGTGCATGGTCCCAGCTGAGGGCCTCAATCTTCCTGAATTACTTCTATTTTTGTAACCATTGGGCCTGCATGAAGACACCGTGATTGCACTCCTATATTTGTCCACAGCTCACAAACAGCCCCCGCATGCCTCATCTCATGTGATTCTCAGGGCGGTTCAGAGGTGTGTAGGCGAATATACGGCAGTCTCATACTAAGGATGTACAAACAGTTTCAGACAGGGCTTACGCCAAAGTGACATGGGACTCGTAGCTCTGAACTGAGTGCTCCTTTCTTATCCTATGTCACAGTCACCATTCTGAGGCTCCCAGACCCATCAGAGATGTGGGGTTTGGCCTTTGGGGAGATTCATAATGGAAGCTACAGCCATTCTTTACAGAAGAAAAAAACAAAAGCCCTTTCCAACACATTTCTGTACACAATTTAAAATTTTTCAAGGGTGCCTGGGTGGCTCAATCAGTTAAGCAACTGACTTCGGCTCAGGTCATGATCTCCCAGTTCAGGAGTTCAAGCCCCACATCAGGCTTTGCGCCATCAGCAGATAG